CCACCTGGAGTAAAGGAGAATGAGGAACACCAAAGACACAAGGAAAGTATTAGCCCAAGAGACAGAAAGGGCCACATAAACCAGAGACTGCATCATCCTGAGACCAGAAGAATTAGATGGTACCCAGCTACCACCAATGACTGCCCTGACAGGGAACACAACAAGAGACCCTGGTGGAGCAGGAGAAAAGTGGGGTGCAGAACTCAAATTCTAGTAAAAAGAGCAGACTTAATGGTCTGAGACTGGAGGAACCCCAGAAAGCATGGCCCCCAGAATCTGTCAACCCAGAACTAATTCCTGAGGCCAACTCTTCAGACAAAGATTAGACTGGACTACGGGATATTAAGTGATGCTCGTGAAGAGTGTGCTCCTTAGCTCAAGTAGATACATGAGACTAAACGGGGAGCTTCTGTCCGGAGGTGAGATGAGAAGGCAGGGAGGGTTAGGAGCTGGCTGAATGGAGATGGGAAATCAGGGATGGAAGGGAGGAGTGTGCTGTCACAGTGTACGGAGAGCAATTAGGGTCACATAACAATGTATGTATAAATTTTTATATGAGAGACTAACTTGATTGTAAACTTTCACTTAAAGTACAACAATAAAAATAAAAATAAAAATAAATTGGCTAGGCCATGATTCCCAGTATTGTGTGATTGTCCACCATTTTGTCATCTGATGTGATTTTCCTACATGTTGTAAATCCAACCTCTATGATTTTAACGAGGTAGGACAGGCAGCAGTTACATTAATGAGGCAGGACTCAATCTATATGACTGGATTGTGTCTTGAGCCAATCTCTTTTGAGATATAAAACAGAGAAGCAAGCAGAGAGAAAAGAGGACCTCATAACACCAAGAAAGCAGCGCTGGGAGCAGAGCATGCTCTTTGGACCCAGGGTTCTTGTGTGGAGAAGCTCCCAAACCAAGGAAAGATTGATGACAAAGACCTTCCTCCAGAGCCAACAAAGAGAGAAAGACTTCTCCTGGAGCTGATGCCCTGAATTTGGACTTCTGGCCTACTGAACTGAGTGAATAAATTTCTGTTTGTTAAAGACATCCACCTGTGGTATTTCTGTTAGGGAATTACTGGATAACTAAGACAGCATGGAATCCAAACTTTCTGGAACCATGAAGCCTGGATGAACCCCTGAAACTACTGCCCTGAGATAATCTTTAAACCTTTAACTAAAAATATCCTCTGAAGTCTTTTTTAAACAAAAAAATAGTTTAGTTTAACTAGTAAGGAATGTCTGCCTTGAGCACTGTGTTCTTTTAAGAGGTATCTATACGGGATCAAACTGAAAACAGCAACTCAAAAGATTAGATAGGAAATGTAGGGAGCAGTGAGTTTATGTTAATGCAGGAGGAACAATTTGTAAAAGGAGAGTCAGAACAGTTGCACAACTTGAAGAATGTAATCAATCTTACTGAATTGTACATGTAAAAATTGTTGAACTGGTGTATGGTCTGATATGCACATTCTCAACAAAAATTAAACAAATTATATATATATAAAAAAGATTATATAGAACAATCCTGATGGGGGAACACAGAAGAGAATTTTAAATTCTGGTGGAATCCAGACTTTCTGGGGCCATGGAAGCTGGATGAACCCCTGAAACTATTACCCCGAGATAACCTTTAAACCTTAAACCAAAAATATTCCCTAAAATCTTCTTTACCCAAACAATAGCTGAGCTTGATTGATAACGAATGTTTGCCTTGAGCATTATGTTCTTTTAAGGAACTATCTATATGGAATCAGGTTGACAACTATCAACTCGAATGGTTAGAGGAGAAATTTAGGGGGTAGTGAGTTCATTTTAATGGAAGAGGAGAGTAAGAATGGCTGCAAAGCATGAAGAATGTGATCAGTGTCGAAGGATTGTGCATGTGGAAATTGCTGAATTGCATATGTTTTGCTATGCAGATTTTCAACAACAAAAATAAATTACTAAATAAATAAATAAAAGCAGCAGATTATCCAAATATTCTACAACATAAATATTAGGGGTTTTGCTGTTGTTCCAGTACTTTAGTCTCTTAGCGAAATTTGTCTCTAAAAATGTGTCACTGGCGTTTTTTCTCAGGAATTTTTTTTCAATGTATCTTTGTTATTATTGCTGTCATAAAACTGACTACAAGTTTCTTCAAAGCTGCATTTTGTGTTTAATAAATTCGAAATTTTTGACAACTTCAAAAAAAAGGAACAAAGGAGTGAAGGAAGGAACGGAGGAAGGAAGAAACAAGAAGAATGCTGTAAAATAATAGATTTAAAAGACATGTGAATGTCATGTGGAGTACTTGATGGATCCTGGTTCAAAAAAACTGTAAAGAGACATTTTAAGACAAGCAGGGAAACTGGAATACGGACTGGTTATTTTAAAAAATACCAAAGTATTATTAATTTTGTTACTTGAAATAACGGCATTTGTGCAACGGACCGCTGATTATATGGACTTTCTTGCTGTGGTCTTGTAACTCCCACCAAATGACTGGGTGGGAATATGCAAATAAGGTGCTTGTGGCCCACCAAGGTGACTGGACAGCTTGCTAATAATGCAAATAAGGTGCATGGAATAATCCTTATGTTTGTGGGACCATGCAAATACGGTATACGGAATCTTACAAGGGGATTTAGTCAGTTTTGTCATCCTGGTAGGCTTAAAATGAGCCATCCCACAGGCAAAGAGAAGGGACCCCACTACCACCAAGAAAGAAGAGCCAGGAGAGCATTGCATTCTTTGGACCCCAGATCCCTGCGCTGAGAGCCTCCTAGACCCAGGAGACAGAGAGCTGTAACCCTGGAGACAGCAAAAGATAGCGAGAAGCAGGAGCAGGAAAACGGCGGCAGCAGAACCAGAAGACTAGCAGGAGATGGCGCGGTGGGCTTCCCTAAGGAGGGAGAAAGCTGAATGCCTTTGGGCAGGAGGCTTGCCGGTGGAGTGGGATGCCCCCAGACACTTGTCAGTGGAGCTAGGCTTGCCAACCCACGGAGCTACAGAGCTGAGTGCCTTCAGGCCAAGGCTTACTGGCAGAGTAGGGTGCACTTATCAGTACAGCTAAAGAGCTCTGTAACGCTTGCCTGAGCAGGACAAAGGCCAAGCCAGGATCCGAGGGATGGAGACCCTGGAGAGAGGCCTGCCTGCAGGCACAGCTCAGAAGAAGCTCTTCTGATTGCAGAACTAACTGTATTCTGAGTTGTTTCTGACCCCAAGTTCTACCCTGTCATTTCCCTAATAAACCACTTAACTGTAAGTACGGTTTGTGAGTTCTGTGTGGCCAATACAATGAACTATGGAACCCAGCAGAGAAGTACAGAGTGCTGGGGGACGTACAGCTGGTGTCAGAATTCGTAAAACAAAGTTGGAGAAGGGAGGTATGTCTAACCTCCACCTTATAGCAATCAGCCTTGGGCTGCTGATCTTGATTCCCCTTATGAAGTTAGATGTGGAGGTCTGAGGCTGTTAACGTGCCATTTTTATAGCACTGTATAACCACATTATTTAGATATGCATACTGAAGTACACAAAAACGAAATGACATGTTTGGGATTTGCTTTAATATACCTGAAGGGACAGAGGAAAAGGAGTAAAATTGAGAAGTACAAAATGCTGATACTATCTGGTACAGATTTAGTCAAATAATTAAGTTTTTAGTTATAAACTCCTATTTTTAAAACTATCGGAGAAAAGGTGACAGCACTCTAAAGACAAATATTCCTTCCTGCGAATAAGTTATATGCAGTTAATAAAACACAATGCAAAAAAAATCATAATATGGGTTTTGCCCATTCTCCAAAAAAAAAAAAAAAAAGATACATTTTAAACCCATTTGAAAAGCTATCAGCAATAAATGGTAATTTTTTGTTTCTAAAAGAAGTCAGTCACAAATTACAGCATGTAAATAAGCTTTGCATTGGACATGAGAGCAGAGTGACAGAAACTGAACCTTCAAACATAAGGAAAGTTCTATCTCCAACCATGCAAAGTGCACCTCCACCTGCCGGTTTGTGGCCGACTCTTCCAAAGAAGAAAGAAAAAATGTCAGTGTGAAAGATGGGATTGCAGAAGACCTCTCTCTTACCTGTTTGGAATAAAAATTTTACTGTCAAAGGAAAAGATAACACAATTGAGAACTCAGTACATATAAGAAAAACGGAAGGAATATCAGAAAGACTTTCTTTTGATTTTTCCCCCCAAAGGAGGATTTTCTTTGAATATTTCAAGTATACAGCCATGTTCTCATAAAATAAAGGTTATATACAGAAGAACTGATGCCTCTGAATTATGGTATTGGTGAAGAATACTGAATATGCCATGGAGTGCCAGAAGGATGAACAAATCTGTCTTAAAGTACAGCCAGAATGCTCATCAGAAGTAAGGATGGCAAAACTATCTCACATACTTTGGGCATGTTATCAGGAGAGACCAGTCTAGAAAGGACATCATGCTTGGTAAAGTAGAGGGTCAGTGAAAAAGAGGAAGACCCTCAATGAGATGGACTGACACAGCAGCTGCAAAAATGGGCTCAAACGTAATGATTATGCGGATGGTGAAGGACCAGGTAGTGCTTCCTTCCATCACACACAGGGTCGCTTTGAGTTGGACGCAACTCTAGGGCACCTGACGACAACATCAGTCATTAAACGTTAGCCATATTCAAAATGAATGTCGTTTCTTAAAATTCTCAAAAGTAATGTACCTAAAAGAGGTGCTTGAGTCTCAAGCAGCACTGTCCAAAAGAAATATAATGCAAGCCAAAAATGCAATTTCCAATTTTCTAGTAGCCACATTAAAAATAGTGAAAAGAAACAGGTAAAATTACACTAATATATTTTGTTTAACCCAGTATATCTAAAACACTATAATTTCAACACGTCATCAATATTTTTTTACAGTCTTTTTCTCTGTACTAAGTCGTCAATAATCTGGTGTGTATTTTATACTATAGCACATCTAAATTTGGACTCGACACATTTCAAGTACCCAATAGCCACACGTGTACTATCGTATATCTAGTACAAGTCTAGAATTACAAAAAAGACGAAGAGAAAAATCTTGATGTAATTCAAACTACACATCTCAATGAGTAATAAGAATCTTAGGGGGTGTACTTAAGCACATAAATGAATATAAATGAGGACAAGTACTACACTATATCTCCATCACATAGATTTTTATTATTTGGCTTTTGACAGAAAGCATTATTAACAAAGATTTTAAATAACCCTTCCCAAACCACTTATTCAAGGATCCCTGGTGGGCAGTGGTTAAGTGCTCGACTGCTAAATGAAAGAGGTCAGTGGTTTGAACCCACCAGCTGCTCCACGGGAGAAAGATGTGGCAGTCTGCTTCTGTAAAGATTACAGTCTTGGAACTGTCTGGGATCAAATTGACAATAGCAACTCAAAACATTAGACAGGAACCTTAAGGGGCAGTGAGTTTATGATAATGATGAAGGAACAGCTCAGAAAAGGAGGGTAAGAATGACTGCACAACTTGAAGAACATAATCAACGTCACTAAATTGTACATGTAGAAACTGCTGAATTGGTGTATGTTTTGCTGTATATATTCTCAACACACACAATATATAAAATTTAGAAAGAAAAACTAATAAGATTGGTTACATACAGGAGGGATGAAAAAGGAACAGGGGGGAAGGAAGCAGAGGATGGAAAACGGTTGCATGGAAGGGGGTTGTTTATACCTTTTTCCATAGTTTTGCCTTTGCAGCTTACATACTCAAATAATAATAAAAAATAGCAGGGATGGGGGAAAGTCTAAAATGGAATACAAAGAAAAACAAATGAATCTAATTGTATTAAAATGTTATTCATAACCACACAGAAGGGGGAAAAGCTATATTTCAACTATAATCCTCAGAATAAAAACAAAAAGAATTGTAAACAAAACAACAACAACAAAAATATTACCATTTTGGAAACCCTATGGGGCTGTTCTACTCTGTCCTACAAGGTCAGAATCGATGGCAACAGGTAACCATTTATTCAATAACTATTATTGTTAGTTGCTGTTGAGTTGATTCAAACTCATTTAATAACGATACAATAAAAATAAGCGTTAACATTTAATAAAATGAAAAGTAAATACCTCCAATATTTTCCCTGAAGCCTTTTTCCAAGCTCTGAAATAGATTTCTGCAATGTGTACCATCAAAGATCTGTCCCCGGGGGGAAAAAAAATCAAAATATTTTTAATGCAAACTCAAAGAATCATACTTTCAATAGGTATCATTTTAGTTACTCTCCTTTTCTAGGGAAGAGAAACTCAAGTTTAGACCAGTGGTTTGAAAAGATATGCTATCTATCTCTTTTGGCAACTAGGGAAAAAAAAAGTTTCAGAAGGAAGACTGGAGTGACAAACTGCTTCCTTCCTCCTCAGTCAAAGCTTTACCAGAATCTTACTGTTTTCTGTGAAACCTTGGAACATAGTCCAGAATCAAATTTCAAAGTCAAATATTTTAAAATATAAATACATTTTTGGATTTGAAGTCCTTCTGGATTTTCCAGCTTATTGATTCCCTTACGTACAGAGAGCCGTAAAATACCAGAGCTGACTTCAGAATCATAGAAATTTTTGAAATCTATTAGTTCCAACTCAAACAGAGATCCAGAATCAAATTCCAACTTGGTACTTACACAGATGTCTGACACTGGGGACGTTAATAACCAAAGCGCACTTCAAAAGATGGTTGTGTGGATTAAATTTCAAAATGTTGACCAAGTACTTAGCATTGTATCTACTATACAGCAATCATTCGCTATGTTAGGTCTGTTGTTGTTGTTGTTAGGTGCCGTCAAGTCAGTTCCAACTCATAGTGACCCTGTGCAAAACAAAACGAAATGCCGCCTAGTCCTGTGCCATCCTTGTGCAAGCAAGCTTGTGTCATCTGCGTATTGCAGGTTGTTAATGAGTCTTCCTCCTATCTTGATACAACATTCTTCATCATATAGTCCAGCTTCTCAGATTATCTGCTCAGCATACAGACTGAATAAGTGTGGTGAAAGGCTACAACCCTGATGTACACCCTCCCTGATTTTAAACCACGCAGTATCCCATTGTTCTGTTCCAATGACTACTTCTTGGTCTATGCACAGGTACCTCATGAGTACAATTAAGTGTTTCTGGAATTCCCATTCTTCACAACGTTATCCATAATTTGTTAACATCCACACAGTCGAACGCCTTTGCATAGTCAATAAAACACAGGTAAACATCTTTCTGGTATTCTCTGCTTTCAGCCAAGATCCATCTGACATCAGCAATGATATCCCTCATTCCACGTCCTCTTCTGAATTCGGCTTGAATTTCTGGCAGTTTCCTGTCAATGTACTGCTGCAACTGCTTTTGAATGACCTTCAGCAAAATTTTACTTGTGTGTGATATTAATGATACTGTTCGATAACTTCCTCATTCGGTTGGATCACCTTTCTTTGGAATGGGTACAAATATGGATTTCTTCCAGTCAGTTGTCCAGGTAGCTGTCTTCCAAATTTCTTGGCATAGATGAGTGAGCACTTCCAGCGCTGCATCCATCTGCGGAAATATCTCAACTGATATTCCGTCAATTCCTGAAGTCTTGTTTTTTGCCAATGCCTTCAGTGTAGTTTCGACTTCCTCCTTCAGTATCATAGGTTGTTCATTATATGCTACCTCCTGAAATGGCTGAATGTCAACCAATTCTTTTTGATACAGTGGTTCTGTGTATTCCTTTTATATTAGGTATGACTACTATTATATTCAAAGAGCTGGCAGAGCTAACACGAAAACGTACATCTCTAGATTCTCATATTGTAGAGCTCCTTCTACAAAATTTAGTTCATATTAAATTGAAAAATAGATATTATACTCAAAATATTATCAGAAATACTAGTGACATGGCCTTTATAAAAATTGTTAATGAGGTTGAGTTTTAACTGGCAAAATAATATGACTATTTAAAGGACTACCACAAATTAAAATCTTAATTCAAGTGGTCATTACTGAAAAGGAATGATTTCCTAAAGAAGGAAAAAAAAAAAAAAAAAAAAAAAAACCTATCCAGTTACATAATAAATAACAGACAGTTTTTAAAGGTTCCAATACATTAAAAACTTAAAAAATCAGGTCAAACAGAATCTTACAAAACCATATTAAGATAGCAGAAAATATTAATTACCTTTAATACTTACTTTTGTAATCCCTGTAACTGGTTTTTAATGGTCCCATGGATCATTTTAATAAAGTTTATATTCCAATTGAAGAGAGAACTAAGAAATCTTCTTCCCTATACACAATAAAATAGGGTAATGTTAAAACTGCATCAAAATAAAAAGCTTCCAATAACTAAAAAACAAAACAACAATTTTTTGAATGTTTAATAACTTTTAAAAGTTGCTATTCTTAACAAAGTATAAATAAATAATAACTTGGAATATATATATTAAAGTTTAGTTGGGAGAAAACGCCTGAAGTGGCAGTCATTTTAAGATGTAAGATGATGATGGGCCGTGGGAGTCTTGCAGTTACAGAATCCAGGAGAACAGATGAAAGGCAAGAGAGCCTTCTTCCCCTTTGACTGCCAAAAACCAATTACCACTGAATTGCTTTTTCCTTGTGTAACTACAGGCATACGGAGATAAGGATATCTAGACAAATATGGTTTGTGACATTTACCATGCCATCTAGCAGTTAAATTAAATGGTCCATAAACATTTCATTTTACTGTCATGACTGTCTATATAATTAAAAATTTAAAAATGCTTGAAGCCATAGCATTTTATGGTTAGAATGAAATTAGATATCAGTTCATTTCACCTTTTATAAATAAGAAAACTGAGGACCTGTATAGTTAAGAAGCTAATTTTATTGCTTGCTAAGCTAGAATTTTCAAAAACCTATAGTCAACAAGTTAGATAGGGATTATACTTATAATTTATAATATTTACATTTATATCATATGTGCATGCTATAATATTACACATATGAAAATTTTGAATATAATTATTTATACTCTATAGAGTATATAAAATACATCTACCAAGAATGATCCTAACACTCTTGACTCTATATTGTACCCACTACACAGTCTCTGGATTTCTGCAGAAATGCCAACACACTTTGACACAAATGGCAGGTTAACTATGCTTGGAACAGGCAAGTGGGAAAAATAATGGTACTTACTGAAAGCAATTTGCCAGAAGAGTACAAGATGTCTATGGTTTACCTAGAATGACAGGAGCCTGACCTGATCAAATGAGTGTTTCCTAAGTTTAGCTGGATTGAATTCAAAGGAGTACATCAAACAAACAAAAAAAAAGGGGGCGGGGGGAGTTTTAATACACACACACATTTATATTTATGTCTACATTATATACTTACACACAAGAGCAATTTGCCAACTGCTTATATATAAATCAATATAAATAAAGTTTATTCGTCTGAATACAATATTAACTTCTTCACTCTCTCTAAATTTCTAACAATTCTGAAAATACTTAGGGCACAGGCCATGCATTCAGCATCTTTTCCAATATTGACAAGGTTGATGCTTATTACAGTCACAGCAATATTTCCCTAGTGCTTATTATATGTCAGGCACTGTGCTAAAGGTTTTACAGGTACTACCTCAATTGTTCCTCACAGGAATACTGTGAAATAGCAATTGTCATTCCTATTTTACAGAAAAGAAAATTGAGGTTTAAAAAGGATAAGTAGTCTGTCCAAGGTTACCCATCTACTGAGTGAATGAATAGGGATTTGAACACAACCTTTCTGACCCCAGAACCGAAAGTCTTAAACATATATGGCCTTTTAACCTAGCTGGCTACAGGCTGTATAGTGGGTAATGGAAAAATTATATAAATATAATAGTTCTTTATAGCTAAGCTGACTTTTTCTTTAAAACAATGAACACAGTACAAACAGCAACCACATGAACTTAAGAAAAACATCTATTAAAAAGCAGCTCTAAAAGAGACCAAAAGAAAGCTGATTTACCTCTTCTTTCTTGATGTAATTAACACTTATGAAGCACTCAAGTAGAATATCTTTGATTTCTCTACTTTCCTCCAAATCATAATCAAAGCAATATAAAGCTTGGTGAATACGCCAAAGCCGACATATGTCAGCACCCTAGGAATGACATAAAAAAGAAAAATGTTATACTAGAGTGTTTTTCTTTATAAACGGTAAAGTCACATTTCAAGTTAAATATAAGAATATTTTATATCACAGATAATCATAATTCTAGGTTATTTATGAAAGAACAGGATAGTAAAAAGTAAACAGATTTTAAAATTTGCAAAATGTCACATAGCTCTAGAGAACAATTTTAAAAACATGGGCAAAAGCAACCACAAATATTGATAGAGAGCACTACTCAACAGAACTTTCTGTGAGGATGAAAATGCTCTGTATCTATACTGTCCAGTACAGTAGCCACTAGCCACGTTTGCCTATTGAGCTACTGAAATGTGACTAGTGTGACTGATGAAATGAATTTAGTTTTTTGTCTTATTTTTTTAACTTTCAATTAAAATTAAATTTAAATAGCCACACATGGCTAGGGGCTACTGTACTGAACAGCACAGGTTTCCAATGTTAGGAAAACATTAAAAATAAAATCGTGATTCAAAAACAAAATTGAAAGGAAAACGGATTTTTAAAAGACAAATCAATGCTGGTATGAGGATAAATGTTGACACAAAATAGGTTTGTCAATCATTCCCATGGCCAGTGGGAAAAATCAGACAACCAGCTGAAGATGCAGTCAAAAAAGGTGTTTTTTTTCCTTATAAAACTTACTGCTTCTTGGAGAGGGTATAGTGAAACAGACTCTCAAACACTGCTGATAAAAACATAAACTGGTATAAAGGTTTCTAGAAAGCTATTGGTAATATGCATCAAGCTCCTTCAAGTGCACACCCATTGACCTAGTAATTTCATTTCTAGGAATCTATCACAACGAAGTAGAGAAAAGAAGGTGAAAAAGGTCAGAAAGAAACACCCTAAATATCCCTAAAATAACAACGATCATCTTTGATGGTGGGATTATAAATGACTTATTTTTCTCTATAAAAACAAAACCAAACCCTTTGCCATTGAGCTGATTCTGACTTATAGAGACCCTATATTGCAGTCCTGGTGGCACAGTGGTTAAGAGCTCGGCTGCTAAGCAAAAAGTCAGCAGTCTGAATCCACCAGCCACTCCCTCCTTGGAAACCCTATGGGGCAGTCCCACTCTGTCTACAGGGTCGCTATGAGTCAGATTTTCCTCTATAGTTTTCTTCATTTTCCCAATTACCTGAAAAGGATGTAAGTATCTCTTTGTATTAATGAGGGGAAAATATTGTTTCTTCTTGATTTCTGATTTGTATACCAAAGATTACAGTACAAAACAGCCCAAGTTACATCCAACTTTCAAATATGCTAAAAATAACTCAATCCTTAAATACTGTGGCAGTGGGGAAGCCATGAAAGTGCATCCCTCAGATCTTCCAGACAACCTGCCGCAGGGACATTGCTGTTTGGCTGCCCCGCTGCTACCCCTTTGGTTCCACCACCACTTTCAGAGCCAGGCCACCCAGTGGCTAATCACGGCAGAAGTACTTGTTGTTAGGAGAAGCAGACTTGGTTCCCACTCATAGTGACCCTATGGACAACTGAACAGAATGGAACACTGCCCAGTCCTGTGCCATCCTCACAATCATTGCTGTTTCAGCACACTCTTGCAGCCATTGTATCAATCCATGTCATCGAGGGTCTTCCTCTTTTTTGCTGAACCTCTACCTTACCAAGCACAACGTCCTTCAGGGACTGGTCCCTCCTAATAACGTGTCCAAAATACGTGAGATGAAGTCTTGCCATCCTCGCTTCTACGGAGCACTCTGGCTGTACTTCTTCCAAGACAGATATGTTCATTCTTCTGGCAGTCCACGGTATATTCAATATTCTTTGTCAACAACATAATTCAAAGGCATCAATTCTTCTGTCTTCCTTATTCACTGTCCAGCTTTCGTGTGCATATGAGGCAACTGAAAATACCATGGCTTGGATTAGTCACACCTTAACCCTCAGGATGACATCTTTGCTTTTCAATACTTTAAAGAGGTCTTTTGCAGCAGATTTGCCCAATACAATACTTCGTTTGATTTCCTGACTGCTGCTTCCATGGATGTTGATTGTGGATCCAAGTAAAATGAAATCTGTGACAACTTCAATCTTTTCTCCATTTATCATGATGTTGCTTGTTGGCCCAGTTGTGAGGATTTCTGTTTTCTTTATGTGGAGGTGTAATCCGTACTGAAGGCTGTAGTCTTTGATCTTCATCAGAAGTGCTTCAAGTCCTCTTCACTTTCAGCAAGCAAAGTTATGTCATCTGCATATTGCAGGCTGTTAATAAGTCTTCCTCCAATCCTAATGTCACGATCTTCTTCATATAGTCCAGCTTCTCAGATTTGCGCAGCATACAGACTAAACAAGTGTGGCGAAAGGCTACAACCCTGACACACACCTTTCCTGATTTTAAACCATGCAGCATCCCCTTGTTCTGTTCAAAGGACTGCCCCGTGGTCTATGTACAGGTTCTGTATGAGCACAATTTAGTGTTCTGGAATTCCCATTCTTTGCAATGTTATCCATAATTTGTTAGGATCCAGAGTTGAATGCCTTCGCATAGTCAATAAAACACAGGTAAACATCTTTCTGGTATTCTCTGCTTTCAGCCAAGATCCATCTGACATCAGCAATGATTCCCTCGTTCCACATCCTCTTCTGAATCCAGTCTGAATCTCCAGCAGTTCCCTATCCATGTACTGCTGCAGCTGCTTCTGAATGATCAGCAAAGTTTTACTTTCATGTGGTATTAATAATATTGTTCAATAATTTTTTCATTCTGTTCTATCACTTTTCTTTGGAATGGGCATAAATATAAATATGGATCTCTTCTAGTCTGTTGGCCAGGTAGCGGTCTTCCAAATGGCATAGATGAGTGAGTGCTTCCAGCACTGCATTCACATGTTGAAAACATCTTAATTGGTATTTCGTTTAGTCCTGAAGCCTTGTTTTTCGCCTATGCCTTCAGTGCAGCTTGTACTACTTTCTTCAATATCATTGGTTCTTAATCATATGCTACCTCCTGAAACGGCTGAACGTTGACCAATTCTTTTTGGTACAGTGACTCTGTATATTCCTTCCATCTTCTTTTGATGATTCCTGCATCGTTCAATATTTTCCCCAAAGAATCTTTCAACGTTGGAACTCGAGGCTTGAATTTTTTCTTCAGTTTTTAGCTTGAGAAATGCCAAGCATGTTCTTCCCTTTTGGTTTTCTAACTAGCTTTTTGCACATTTCATTATAATACCTTGTCTTCTCAAGCCACCCTCTGAAACTTGTTCAGCTCTTTTACTTCATCATTTCTTCATTTGCTTTAGCTATTCTGCGTTCGTGATCTGTTTCAGAGTCTCTTCTGGCATCCATTTTGGTTCTTCCTTTCTTTCCTGTCTTTTTAATGACCTTTTGCTTTCTTCATATATGATGTCCTTGATTTCATCCCTCAACTCGTCTGGTCTTCTGTCATTAGTGCTCAGTGTGTCAAATACATTCTTGAGATGGTCTCTAAATTCAGACGGAGTATAATCAAGGTCATATTTTGGCTCTTGTGGACATGTTTTAATTTCCTCAGCTTCAACTTGAACTTGTATATGAGCAATTGATGGTCCATTCCACAGTCGGCCCCTGACCTTGTTCTGACTGATGATATTGCACTTCTTCATGGTTTCTTTCCACAGATATAGTCCATTTGATTCCTGCATATTCTATCTGGTGAGGTCCACGTGTATAGTCACCAATTATGTTGTTGAAAAAAGGTATTTCCAGTGAATAGGTCATTGGTCTTGCAAAATTCTATCATGTGATCTCCAGTGTCATTTCTATCACCAAAGCCATATCCTCCAACTACTGATCCTCCTCCTTTGTTTCCAACTTTGGCATTCCAATCTCCGGTAATTATCGATGCATCTTGATTGCATGTTTGATCAATTTCAGACAGCAAAAGTTGGTAGAAATCTTCGATTTCTTCATTTTGGCCTTAGTGGTTAGTACGTAAATTTGAATGACAGTCATATTAACTGGTCTTCCTTGTAGGTGTATGGATATTATCCTATAAGTGACAGTGTTGTACTTCAGGATAGATCCTGAAATGTTCTTTTTGGCAGTGAATGCAACGCTGTTTCTCTTTAATCTGTCATTCCTGCATAGGATATCATTTGATTGTCCAAATCCAAATGGCCAATACCAGTCCATTTCAGATCTGATGGCATGGTGGTTAAAGCGCTGTTCAAACTCACTGGCCACTTCATGGGAGAAACGCCTAGGATATCTATCTTCAAGCATTCCATTTTATTTTTGACAACTTCCAACTCTTCTAGATTCATACTTCATACATTCCACATTAGAATTATTAATGGATGTTTGCAGCTGTTTCTTCTCATTTTAAATCATCTCACCTCAGCAAATGAAGGTCCCGAGAGCTTCACTCCATCTATGTCATTAAGGTTGACTCTATTTTGAGAAGGCAGCTATTCCCCAGTCATGTTTTGAGTGACTTCCAATCTGAGAGGCTCATCTTCCAGAGCTATATCAGCCAATGTCACTGCTATTCATTAGGTTTTCACTTGCTAATTTTTTTAGAAGTAGATTCCCAGGTCCTTCTTCCCAGTCTGTCTTAATCTGGAAGCTCCACTGAAAACTGTCCACCATGGGTGACCCTGCTGGTACTGGAAATAGCGGTGACATAGCTTCCAGCATCACAGCAACATGCAAACCACCACAGTGAGACAAACTGATAGACGAGCGGTGGGCGGAAGTACTACTGCCAGTCTATTCTTGCCCAATGCAGGACTCCCTCTGATAGTCAATTTTGGCTTGGAAGATTCTCCCATAGCCCAGCATAAACTTTCTTAGAACTGTGCTATAGTTTGAGACAATTCCAACCCAATCCTCCTTCCTTCCCCTCTCTTTTCATAGGTGTCAGACCTGAATCATGATCTTAAGGCCTTTCCTGTCAACTCTTGCTCCCTCCCCTTCATCCTCTACCAGCCTTGCACATCCAGACATATTTTGTTGTCTGCCTCATAAAGGACCCGCACTGATAAAAATAGATACTGCTAGTTGCCTATCCAAAATCTCATCCCCATTTCCTTACTAAAAAAATCCCCTATTTTTTAAGATTGGCAATATAACCCATTAAAAACTCCATGTTCTAGCCTCTCTCCATTTTCCAGCAGATAGAGGTGGCTATGTGGCACAGTTCTGGCTACTGGTTATGAACTGAGAATTTCTGAGGTTTGGCCCTTTCTTTCCTCTGATTTTTTTTTTTCCTCCCTGTCTGGGATTCAAACAAGAAGTTGAAGGTGGAACAGCCATCTTGCAATCATAAAGTGAAAAGAATGAAGACAAAAAACCCCACACACTAAGGGTGATAGAAGAAAAAGACTGGGTTGCTGATTACAACATGGAACCATTGCACCAACCTTAACTGCCTACCTCTGAACTTTTCATAGTTCAAAAAAAACAAAAAAAACCCTAATTGACAAAGCCACTGTAGTCAGGTCTCTGTTACTCATAGTCAAACAATTCCTAACTGATATAAATACATGTACTTTGTAAGTAAAGTATATTAAAAAAATAAGCATACTGTTTTAGTCTCAAGACTCTTCCTTAATAACATGATAAAAGCAGTCTTTCCCATATCTTCTTTGGCAGATAGGCCTTTCTCCCACCAAGTAACACACAAATCCTGAACGGAACTCCGTAGTTTTTGTTCAGATTCAGGTAATGCATATAAAACACCTAGAACAGAGTATAGTAATTTTTCAGACAGTAAAGCAAATTTTTGTTAGTTCAGATTTAATAGTTTACAATGTTATGATTTTGCATATTAAAGTTTAGCAGTGGTTAAGAGCTCAGGCTGCTAACCAAAAGGCTGACAGTTCAGATTCACCAGTCTTTCCTTAGAAATCCTATGGGGCAGTTCTACTCTGTCCTACAGTGTCGCTATGAATCAGAACCCCCTCGATGACAACGGGTAAAGCAATTAGTTTGTATTTAACTTGTTAAAGATTTGAATACATTATTCATAGAACACAAATGATGTTAATTAAAAAAACATTTTACTACTGTAACAAAACAGACCCAATAGAACAGAGAATTTTAGAACTGGAAGATTCAGAGATCATATTGTCCAAACCCCTAATTTTAGAGAGGCAGAAACTGAGGCCATCAAAATTTAAGTATAATGTCCAAAGTAACACTGTTAACATCAGAGCCAAATCAGGTCTACTGATCAACCATCCTAAAATGCGTTGGCCTCAAATTTTTGGCTAATAGATGAAGAACAGTAAAAGCAACTATTAGTGTAAAAAACTGCAGTGTTTTGATTAACAGGGAAGTTCAAGAATTAAACTAATAATGTGCTCATAATTATAATCTATAGATACCTGAATTCCATGATTATACCTATACAATGTAAAATTCCTGAATTAACTAGGAAGTTGGTAGCAACTACAAATGCTACCAGTAATCATTTTAAAATCAAAGAGTTACTTGGATACTGTATAATCAAACTGGTAGTAACAGTCACAAAGCATTTGAGAGCTATTTTTTATACTGATTAGGGGTAACTTTTTAATAATATATTTCAATGCAAGAATTCAAAATAAAACAACATAGTAAACAGATATATAAATCCAAGTGATGCTGAGAATGAAAAGCTTGTAGAACCTGTCCACATAAAACGTATTTATGTTGTGAGGGATAAGGGCACTGCACTTGTAGAGTTTTCTTAAAAATCATTACTTGAAATAAAATTACTTTTATATCTGAAAAACTTTTATATAAATTTTTATAATTAGATTTTCTCAGTATTTCAGACTAATGCTCCTCCTAAATAACAACACAGTTTTACAGTTTAATTAGAACTTGAAAAGTATCATAATTTAAATTTTAGCATAGTAGTATTCCCCCAGGAGTCAACAATTATTCCTCAGATCATGTTCATAAAATATTTAAAGAATAAAGTTAAATTGAAACCATCTGGCAGTAATCATAAACTGAGAAATTTATATAAGGGTATTTCTCCTTTAACAAGCTCTTGATCATGAGTCTAGTAAGTCAAATAAGACATTCCTGAAAATCCCACAAACAGCAGTTAGTTGCTCAGTAATGCATATCTTCCTCATCTGAAACATTTAAATGCAATTTAAATTAAACTAATTATTCAGGATAACCCATAAAGAATATCCACATGCTCCTTTTCTAGCTGAAATGAAGGAGCTTTATTACAAAGTTATGCTTCAATACCAATTCTCCCTCTACATTAAACAAAACTCCTGAAAACAAGCATCTTTTCCAAAGTATCATTTAGATGGCCTACTTTTAAAAATGCCACATTATAACAAAGGCAACTTACCATTTAATATGGCAGCACATTCTAGTAAGGCTTCATAGTTCTCATTTTCATTTATTACAGATACACAAGTAATAATCACAGATGTAACTGCATGAATTATTTCTATGTTTTTCTTCTATAAATTTAAAAAAAAAAAAATCAAAGCACCAGTGAATTAAAATCACCAACTTAAACAGAATTTAAAAAAAAATTTAAGAGTTAATAAATTTCTAAAAATCAAGCCAAGCTTCTAGCTTATTCTAAAAAGTGAATTAAAGTTGAATACATATAAGGTAGTGTCCTAAAAGAATAGTAACATTGAGCAGAGTACGAAAATTAAAAGGTAGGATTGTAAAGTAGGTGAAACTACAAATTTAATTTCTAAAATTCTTGTCTAATTTCAAAGTTTTGCTAAAGTCCCATCTTAACTTAAAATTCAATTATACACACTAACAATTATTATTTAACAAAGAAAACGGAGAAAATTATATTTTTTAAAGACCAATACTACCATTTTTGAATCATGTTCTATTTCCATGTCATCTTCACACTTGATTTCTACCATCTGCCACCCATCCACTGGGCTTTCTAACAACACATCTGTTAATAAATTCTTGAGCCTTTGCCATAGTTCTTCTTTCTGTTTCCTTGATAATTCATCCAATAACTCATTTAGATTGAAAGGGTCAGAGGCATCTTTCTGTAAAATAAACAACAAGTGTTACATTTCAACACAAATTCAGCAACAATTGTGAGGATTGCGCAGGACTGGGCAATGTTGATACATAAGGTTCCTATGAGTCGGAGCTGACTCGATGGTACCTAACAACAATCCTTTTTATAACATTGAAAAGAAAAATTTTTAAGGGCTAACTTAGTTACGTGTTCAAAACTTTGGCTGCAGTTTTCAAAATCCATACATAAAAGGGGAAAAGTGTAGTAATTATCAGAAGGAAAGTAGTAAACTCCTCCTCCTCTATATGTTCTTCCCTAGTATTCTAATCATTAAAAATTTCATCCACTTAGCAAAACTTTCTCTAAAATCAATCCAATGTCCACCGTCTCCAGACCTATAATTAGCTTACAACATTATGCTAGAGTTAAAGAATAATGATAATAACAATAACGTAACTATGAAGACAGATCTCATTTTAAGTTTATGGTCTCCAACTCCAACTGGGCCCTCAACACCAGCCTTCTAGTCTTCTCTAGACATCATTCTTTCTCATTAGCCAGTAAGACTACTTCAAATCTTTGCAACAATCCTCAAAACCCATGAGCCAACAACCACTTCCTCTCACTTATAGAAGATGACCTCACCTACTCTTTGACAAAACAAATAGAAGCCATTATCAAAAGGGCAGAGAAGCTAGCTTAAACGGGCCCCCTGTGGCCAAATCTGGGACAAGGTGAGCACCAAAATAGTGACAGTAATGGATTATAACTCACTGGAAAAAAAAAAGAACCAATGAGTCCAACTGATAATTACTAAATAAATAACAAGGGAAATCTCTTGCAGTAGAATGCCAACAAATAAATACAGAAGGAATACTGGGTTAGGAAAATCGCAATTTTATAGCTATGATAGTAATTGATTCAGGCAAGAGTCATTAATGGATGCTAAAGCTAATGGATAAAAGTTTGATGAGGAACAGGATATTTACACAGTCTCAAAGTATTTCCCCGAAGATTACTTATTAACTACAAAAGGGAAAATAACAGCTTTACAGAAGCTAAAGCTGTCGGACACCCACCCTAATCAAATGATCAAAATTAACATCACCAACAATGGGACAAACTGACACGTGCTTCCTGCTTCCTGACATGGCTTCACTGAGAAGGAGATAACAGTGCTTATGTAGTGACAAAATGCATAAACTGAATCTAATCAGGAGATCAACAAACAAATACAAATTGAAGGATATGTCAAAAATAACTGACCAGCACTCCTCAAAATTGTCAGTGTCATGACAAATAAAGTACAGTTGAGAAACTCTTCCAGATTAAAGAAAACTAACAAGATACACTAAATGTAATGTGATACTGGATTGGATGCTGGGTTGAAAAAAAAATATTGCTATTAAGGGCATTATCAGGGCAATGGTAGAAATCTGAATATGGACTGCAGATTATAGTATTATATCAATGTTAAATTTCCTGATTTGAGAATTTTAGGATAGAGGCAAGTACTCTCAAATGATTCAAAAAATAATAAAGAATGATAAGAAAATCTGACAAACGGTAACAATTAGTAACTCTGAGTGTAGAATATTCAGAATTTCTTTGTACTCTTCTTGAAACTTTTCTGTAGGTTTGAAATTATTTCAAAAGTTACCCCTCCAAAAAAGAAAATAGAAGCCATTGAATAACAATTCCCTTAACACCCTGCCATCAAACTGGATAGCCCCCATCTTTCCTTCCTACCCTCCTGCTTAATTTTGGAAGTATTCAATCTTTTAAGTACACAGCCATCTGTGCTCCATTCTCGGGGCATTTAAACTCACCATTATGTCCCCTTCTCTTTACTGTCGACTTTATCTTCTAATGACTCTTCCCACCAGCATTTAATTATATTCAAGCATCCACCTTCTGGGAAACACTGCTGCCATAGTGGTTAAGAGTTACGGCTGCTAACCAAAAGGTCAGCAGTTCGAATCCACCAGGCACTCCTTGGAAACTCTGTGGGGCAGTTCTATTCTGTCCTACAGAGTCGCTATGAGTTGGGATCAACTCGAAGGCAACAGGTTTGGTTTTTGGTTATCTCCCTTCTTAAACAACTTTAATCCCTCTCCTCCCCTCCAGCTACTACCATTACTCTACTCTTTCTTAAAGCCTATCGATCTTATGAAGTTAAGAGTTCCACCCCTACAACTCCACTGCAACTGCTCTTGCCAAGGTCAATGGTATCCAATAGCCCTTACCATGTTTTAGCCCTTACCATGCTTGACCTCTCAGCATCATCGGGCACTACTGAACACTCCCTGTACTTGTGACATCACCCTTTCCTAGTTTACCTCCTATCTCTCTGGGCACTCCAGAGAATAGCACCCAAAGCCCTTATCATAGCCTGCAAGGCCCGTTATGACCCTTGGCTACCTCTCCAATCATAACTCCTGCCACTCCTCCTTTCTCGCTCATGAAGTCCATGCTCCCACCTCAGGTCTTTTCCTTTCCCATTCCTTCTGTTTAGAATTCTCTCCCCTCAAATCTCATATGGCTCATACTCATATCCTCTTTTCTTTCCAGTAGATGATCAAATATCACCTTCTCGGAGACTTTCTCTAACCACCCCAATTAAAATAGTAGGCACCTCCCATCACACCTATCCTTTTACCCTGCCTTTTTATTTTACATATTTATCTATTTGTTTCTCTTTCTCCACCACTATAATATAAATTCCACTGAGGTATAAACTTTGCTTTGTATACCACCCTATCTCCAGTCCCCAGAACAGTGCTTAGTATATAAGAGAAGGCACTTAAGAAGTATTTGTCAAATGATTTGAATTCTCCTCAGTCCTGTCTCCTCCTATTCCTCTCTCACTGATTCTCAAAGCATTATGTACGGCCTAACGGTGCAGTCAGTTCTGTCTTATAACGCTTCTTTTAAAATACACAGTTGTCCCCAACACATTGATATATTAGGAAACAATCTGAGCAAAGGTGAATTTCCCATTTGATTAGCGAGGTTTCATCCACAAGAAACACTGACTGCAGAAAACTGCACCCGGCTGAACACAGCCCCACAGGCTTACACTAACACACACACACACACACCTCAAACATCTACCAACATGTGTTCTGAGCCACATCCATCCACATTTGGTGTGACAACATTCCATCCACTTGATTTCAGAGAACCTGCCTTCCACCACTTCACAATACCTCCAAAGCTGCAATCTTCCACTGGTCACCCGGGCCATACCCTGCCCTCTCTTATTTTCCCCTTTCCTCTTAGCCCAGTTTGTATTTTTCTTCTCTGTTCTCTTTCTGTCTTTTCTCTCTCACTCTTTTTCTATTTCTCTTTTGCTCTCTTTCTCTCATGCACCGGTTTGGCACGTGGGCCGGTGGGAGCACGGGAGCACGGAAGCCCACTTCCACAAGCGAGCTTTAGGTCTTTTTCAAGGTAAACTATCATATTTATTGTATTATTAAGTATTTCCTAGAGTTTTAACGTATATAAAACTGTGCTAGGAAATCGACTAAATGGCACCTAACAACATCTTTTTATAATGTGTCACTGGCAAAATGTTTGAGCGTTGTGCCCCAACGCCATTTGCTCCATAAGCCCTGTGGCTTTTATTGCCCACTTTGCATAGCATAGTGATTTTCAGGAATGCACGGGTTGTGTTACAGCAGAACTGACTGTATTTGGTGAGGTACATCTAACAGATCTCAAACTGATTTAAAATAAAAGTCTTTTCTTTAGTTCTTATCTGGTTGAACCATGTGAAATTGCCATTATTCAACTGTCCTGACCTACAAAATGGCATTTCATACAGTTCAATTCAGTATAACCAAGTGAATATATTTTCATTTTTATGTTTAACTAAGGGCTATATGGTGACTTTAGGTACTAAGGTGAGTTATTAAATGTTAATAAAACTTGCTATTTATAAACCAAAATTTAACACCTTATTAGTATGAAAACTAAGTATTCCACAAAGATGTCTATTGCCAAGCAACATTATAAAGTGTCTACTACACAAAACAGGAAGAGTTTGGATTAAGGCACTTTTGAACTAAGGATATTGTCATCAGTATATAGTACCAGCGCTACCTGGAGTTGACTGTACTACCTAAATGTTGCTATTTTTGCCTTTCATTTTAAATTAATATTAATTTAGCATAACCATCCATTTTGCTTGCTCTAATTTTAGTTAACTTTATAACATATAGTTTGCAAGAACAGTCTTTTAAACTTTAAAACATGTATGTGTTGCAGTTCTAATATGAAACATCTATACTTCTGACACAGCAGACATAATATCTAAATAATTTGTTCTTATACACTATTCTTTGGTGATGTATTGCCTATGAATTTGTGCTGGTTATTTTTAAGTTTATAATATACCATTTTATAATATGAAATGTTATAAGCTCATTTCTCTCTTATCAAGAAAAATAATTTCATGTATGTGCTAGCAACAAATTTATTATGTGGTTCCGTCTCTACTTTTTTTTTCCCCCCAATCACTAATTCAATTTTCACTGCATGAACAAAACAAGTGACGTAGCTGGGCTAGGGGGGTCTTGTGCCCCAAAGGTAAAAATATTTTAGAGTCAGTGCCTTAGATGTTGCGGTTCCTCAGAGTTCCGTTCTATGCCCTTTTTCATACTTCATATACTATATCAATGATCCCATGCATTCCCATGACTTTAGCTTCCACCTGTACACTGATGACCTGAATTTCTATCTCCAGCCCAGATTTCTTTCCTCACCTTCAAATAATCCTATCCAACTGCCTATTGGTCTTCTTCGCTTGGATGTCCCACCAGCAGTCATTTAACACAGCCATACTTGAACCCATCTTCTCCTTCCAAGCTGACCCTCTTCCTACGTTCATTATCGCACTGCCAAGTCAGAAACCTAAGGATCTTTGACCATTTCTCTCACTCCCCCCACATTCAATCAATGAACGAGTGCTATCATTTCACCACCTAAGAGTTCTCAAATGCATCTACATCTTTCAATTTCTACTTCCTAAACCATCGTTATTAACAACATAGCCTCTTGTTTTGAACTCCTTCAATCTATTCTTCACATGCAGTCAGAGGCATATTTCTAAAATGCAAATCATATTTTTCTCTCTTTATCACCTTTTTGTCTATTTTTCTCTCCCTGTTTTGTTCTCTTCCTTTCTCACACACAGGTTACTCCCTGCTTAAAGTTCTTTGATGTCACCTTCATTTCTCTCAGGACAAAGTCTAAACACGTTTAAATGGTAAAGAAAGCCTGACATAATCTAGCTCCTTCATCCAGTCATATCTCTTGCCCTTCCTCACCTTGCATTTCTACACTCTAGTCCTACTGAACTGCTTCAAGTTCTTCAAATACAAGGTATTTTTATCTAGCCTTTAGAGTTATCCCCTTTGACTAGAATAATCCTTCTCCACTTCCCTCCTACTGGGTAGCTTCTATTTATCTTTTAGATCTTAGCTTCTGGATCATTTCACTGGATGGAAAGCATTCTATGACTGGATTTGCCACTCCTCCTATTACCCTCTGTACCTTCTTCCATCTTGGTGCTTATTGCACAGTATTTATAACTGCCTGTTTACTTACCTGAATCCAGCACAACACTGTAAGTAACTTAAAAGCAAAAAAGCATCAGTCTTCCTCACTATGACTAGCACATAGCAAGAGATCAATAAATATTTGTCAAGTAAATAAAATCACATTGCATTAAATCACTTAGCACCCTTACAACTTCTCTCTTAAAAGAAAGTAGAAAACACAATTTCTACTTGTGTTAAGTAGTTGCCCATCAGCAGGTCTATTAGATTATAAAGAGTTTTTTGTTTTGTTTTTGAAAATAAAGAACATCGGTCCTTATGATTCACATAAATTATGATATAATTTATTTGGGGCCATAATATGGTGGCACACTGGTTACGTGCTCGGCTGCTAACTGAAAGGTTGATGTTTCGAACCTCCCCGTCTGCTCCAATGGGAGAAAGACCTGGTGATCTGTTTCCATAGAAAACCCTAAGGGCAGTTCTACTCTGTCACATGGGGTCACTATGAGGCAAAACCCAACTCAACAGCACCTAACAACGACGATTTTTAAAACATATTTTATATTAACATAAAACTTACATGAAGTTGAACAAATTGCAAAAAGTCTTCAACAAACTCCTTAGACACCGCTTGTACAAATGTTTCACGTTTTTCCATGGCAGATGAAACTGATTTTCACATGTCATTTATTTTATAACCCTAGTGGAAAACACAATCAGACTGTAACTTGCATTTATAAATATCTTTTCCTACAAAGTTTAATTTGGCATTAACAACCAAAAACTGTAAAAAAATTTCTGCACCACCTATAGTAGACAGTTTCTAAAAATATTCTGACATAGAAAAGTTCTAAGTTACATAATTTTTTACTAAGGATATTAACCCATTGCCGTCAAGTCGATTTCCACTCATAGCAACCCTACAGGACAGAGCAGAACTGCCCCATAGGATTTCCAAAGAGTGGCTGGTGGATTCAAACTGCCAACCTTTTGGGTAGCAGCTGAGCTCTTAACCACTGCACCACTAGGACTCCACCAAGGACATTATCAACATAATATTATGTTATTATCAATTACTAGTGAAGTTTCCAACTAAGGTCAGAGAAATCCAAATGGCCCTCTCAGGCTCACTTTCTATTCCTTTTTGATGCCTTAGCAAGATGCTCAGGTGGATCTGAGTTAGCTTAACAAAAGAAAAGGCCTCTAAGAACCCAGCTGCCAAACTCTGAAGACTCCCTTTTCAAAGGATCATTCCTCACAAGAAAACCTCACTATTACAGTTACCTTGTTACTCAAAATGTGATTGGAGGACAGCAGCATTGGTGTCACCTGGGAGCCTGCCTTAGGATGCCCAACCCAAGCACCCTCCTTCCACACCTGTGGCATAATGAGAACTCAGGGGATTGTGTTCACTCTATTTTCCTGCTGTGTTTCTCCCAAAAAATCCTAGTTTACATTCACACTGCCTGGTGCTAGTGATGTCAATGCCTTCCTTGAAAAACATCAACCCAAAGATGAATAGCAAAATCATGGAACACAGTTGCTTTAAAATAAATACGTAAAAATAAAAAACCTCCTGCATCATTATGAATAGATGGTACAGACAGCAATATTTACTAGGATAGGGAGACTTCTTAAACATATAATCCCAGATCTTAATTTCTAAATTAAACAAACAGAAGTAGAAAATAACCTCAGTTTAATGACTCCCCAGTTAAGTAACAGTCAAGTCTGGCCACCTCAACTCAAATGGCTGAGCTAAAAGGTGTAACTTCCTACTGGACAAGAAGATGGGGAGGGGCCGGTAGGCGGCTAGCAACAAGCATGATGACTAATAATGGCTAGTACCACTTTATTTATGATTTTTAAAAATCAACAATAGTCCAGTAAGGTGCAATCAAGTACAAGGAAATCACACATCTTAAACTGCAAGTATGTGAGCCCTCTGTCTTTTTGTAATTCTGGTTGTCTCTATTTCCAAGTGAACTCCTTTGTTATTTTTGTCTTGCACATGTACAGTATTAATCTATTTCCACTAGACTACCAAATTTTATGCATACTCCTTGTCTTAGTCACCTAGTGCTGCCATAACAGAAATACCACAAGTGGATGGTTTTAACGAAGAGAAATTTATTTCCTCACAGTCAAAGTAGGCTAAAAGTCCAAATTCAGGGTGTCAGCTCAAGGGGAAGGCTTTTTCTCTCTGTCAGCCTTCTTCTCTTTGGTGTTCCCTCAGAATAGGAGCTTCTCTGTGCAGGGACCCCAGTCCAAAGGATGCGCTCTGCTCCTGGCACTGCTTTCTTGATAGTATAAGGTCCCCCTGTCTCACGCTCACTTCTGTCTTTTATATCTCAAGAGATTGCCTCAGGACACAGTCCAGTCTTGTAGATCTGGTCCTGCCTTATTAACACAACTGCCACCCATCCTCCCTCATTAACATCATAGAGGCAGGTTTACAACAGACAGGAAAATCACACAGTACCAGGAATCATGGCCTAGCCAAACTGATACACACATTTTTGGGGGGACATAATTCAAACCCTGACACTCCCTATTTTCTTTCTTATACCAGTGATTATAATTCATTTAATGGTTACGAATTTAATGTACACTCACTCTCTCAAAATGGCAACACTTTATGTTCCATATACCGTTTGTGCACAAGACCTCTCTCCTGCCAGCCAGAAGAATACATTTTCAAGTCAAAGGACCATCTTATCCATCCGGTTATCCACTCTTACATCAGGGTGCTTTTCACATAGCAAACCCACTAATACCGGCTAAATAAAAATGAATGTTAAAAAGTTCAAATCTCTGTTACCATGCCACCCGCCTGTGTGAGTTACTTACTTCTTCGTCCCCTCCCTAACCCCCTCCACAAATCTACCTCCACTCAAGAGACAATGCAGAGGCGGCACGCCAAGTGTCAGATCTCCTGGGTTCAGGTGTTTGGGGAATTCTCTTTAAGGCAGAGAGAAGAACAAAAGGGCGTTGGCCCTGAGCTGAGAAAAACACCCACCCACTCCCTCCGTTTCTGTGTTATTTCTTAGAGAAGTTCTCTAACTAGTGCGGCTGTTTTCGGATCGCGGCCCAGAGAGGGTAGCGAAGTGTCGCCGTCAGAGATCCCAACCCACCACGGTAGGCTGAGGCAGATGTGTCCGCCTGGCTCCTGCTATTCTCAAGCCCCCCTGCTGCGAGCCAAACCCCCGGATCAGCACCGCTTGGCTCACCTCCTCTCCACGACCAGCCGATTCCCGCTCTCAGACCAAAATTCAAACGCACCCGCCAGCGCCCGCGCCAGGGACACCTCTCACCTCGCTTTCAGGAAGCGCCGCTCTCGCGAGAGCTGGAGCGCGCCTGCGGCTTAGGGCTGGCCCGGAAAAGCGCGCGTCCCGCCTACGTCCTCTCGTCCCGCCAATGCGCCTCGTCGCCCTCCGCTGGCTGTTGTGTGTTCTGCGCCACCCTGTTTGGGACCACGGGGCGCGCCTGTTTCCGACATCAGCTTCAGGTCCATCTGTGAACCTCTGAATTTAGCCAAGTCTGGTGTCTTTTTCGCTGCGCTCCCCTCACCGTCTGCCCTCCCCTTGAGGGCGTGGCCTTATGGCCAAAGGTTCTTAAATTGGCTTGACTCCCGAAGACAAACACAGTGGCCGGATGTGGCTCACAGCTACACTTAGCCGTTGAACGCGCAGTAAGATGACTGGCACCAGGCGCCGGCCCCCTGGAAAAGTGGGGCTGGGATCTTATGTTTTGTGAATGTTTAGCCATGCAACAGGATAAAAATCTCACAGTATTCATCTTTCCTTTGTGCTTTCTTTTGTTTCTGCCACATTGTGACCATCCCTTAGCGAGAAGTGTCCACATAACTGAAGGAGAAATCGGATTTTTTATACTTTTTTCTTTCGTTTTACTGTCAAATCAAGCTCCTAAGGACCTATACTGATGGCGCTGAGGGGCACAGAATGTACTGTTCGTATCATAGCAAAGATAAGGAGGTGAGATCGTCGTGAGTTGGACTTGACCCAACGCAACATGTTCGGTTTTTTTGGTTTACCCACAAAGTTTGTTTTTTTTTTAATTTTTTTAAACATTTTTAGCTTGACAACTAATTTTCTTTTTAACCACAGACAAATGACTGAAAAGGATGCAAATTCTGACAATTACTGAGATGAAGTGAGCAAACTCATGTTTTAGGAGTCTTGGTCCCTCTATTCCTAAGCAATGTAGAGCTATTCAGTCTTCATTGTTTTTCATGGCTGTGAAGAACTTGGCATTTATCTATCCATTGAACAAGTTACTTTTTACTTCCTACTGAGGACCTGAGGATAGCATAAAAAATTAAAATCATGATTACTATATTATTTTTATAGTGCTTTTTTCCTCCCACGACTGGTAAGTTTCAGAAAGCCCTGGGATAAGAAACTTGCCCAAACAGATGTGTTTTATGTGACATTGGGCCCAGGTGATTTTACCTCCCATTGACCTTTGAAATTAAAGCCCATTCTCTGGCTTGCCTGGCCCGAGACTGCATGCCAGCTGCCTCGCGATCGCAAGAGTTTGAATTGTTTCCTTTACTGGTTTTTTTGCCGTGTTAATAGGTCACCAAAAAAAAAAAAAAAAAAAAAAAACCTATTGCTATCCAGTCTGTTCTGACTCATAGTGACACTTTAGAGCACAGTAGAGCTGCTCCATGCGGTTTCCAATGAGCAGCTGGTGGATTTGAACTGCGGACCTTCTGCTTAGCAGCGGAGCTCTTAACCACTGGGCAACCAGGGCACAGACCTACATTCTCTCTTCTTTATGTCAGACTCCTTCATGAATTTGTAAGATGCCATCCCTATGTACTGTATTTTGTAAACAAAAGTAATAATGTGGTAAGTCATGTAAAATGATCAAGTCTTTGAGGTGGGAGGAACCTTTGTTCTTGTGGTTGCTTATGGTTCATGTTGTCCTCACTGCTGCACAATTGGCCTTGTCTTTGATGTTTTCCTTGCCAAAGATTTCTTTGTTTCTACTTTGTCATAACTTATTATTATTTGCTTTGAAACATAACCTCTGTTCTACTGGTATGCAGATTTATTTTAGCTTAGTTCATCAAGAATTTATCAATCCAGGGGAAGTCAGCACAACTGGACTAAAGCAAAAGCTAAGATGTTTCCTGGACCCATCCAGAGACTGAGGGATAGAGTAGCTGGGGCTGGCGCTTGAAGAGCTTAGGAACTAGAGGATGACTTTTCTCAATATTCTTCCATACCTATCTAAGCCATGAATATTAGAAAATTACAAGGAGTATGTTGGTATTCCCTGTTGGAATATTCAGTATTTCTCTGGGTCTTTGCCCTCTTTGCCTATCTACAAGAGAGACAGAGGGAGAAAGGGAACCTGGAAAGGGCCTTGACCATGTAATTTATGTCTTCTGTGTCTCTTTTCAGTACTGATTCTCTTTATAGTAAAAGCTCAGACTGCTGCTTTCTTGAAGTCTGGTTATTACATCCGTTCTTCTAGCCATCCTCCTGATTTCTAGGCTAGACCTAGAAATGCCTAGTAGGAGTTGATACATAAAACCCTAGGAAGTAATGACTGATTTTATCTAAAGTGTTCTATTGTAAAATACATTAAAACATTTCAGAATAAAAATGGCTGAAAATGTTTAATTCTTACTCGATGGCCAGCTTTGATGCTCATAAATATGTTCACAGTTGGTATCTTACTACTTTCCTCATTTTATAAATGAATAAAAGAAAACATGGCAAGGTTCTGTAAATTTCCTAAGACCCAAACCCAATAGGTGGCAGGGCTGGGATTTGAGCTCAGCTCAGAGTGTGTTCTGAGCGCACTCTTACTCTCTAAACCACTCTGCTAAATGCCCTTGCCTTTGAGGGACACTAAACAGAGACATATGGAGAGAGAAACAAGTGGTTAAGTGACTTGATTTTATATGATGGCTTAATAATTACTGACCTATATAAATTAGCATTTTTAAGTTCCTGTTTCACTTATTTATTAAGGCAGCATCCCCAGCCATGGATGTGACTTCAGAAAGGCCTCTGATACACAAAAGAATCACCTACAATGACAAAAACTTTTCATAGTTTCATGTCTTTATCTTAAGGTGTTGTTATTGTTGCTGGTAAGTTGACGTCTCCGGTAGATTCTAACCCATAACGACCCCATGTGTTACAGAGTAGAATTTTGACATAGGGTTTTCTTGGCTGTAATCATTAATACCGGTTAAAATGCAAAATCCCTTAATAGGTAGGGGAATATACTGAAATATCTCTTTCAAGCAGGTATTTATATAAATTCACAAGTAAAAAATGGCAAGTACTCTAACAGAAGTATCTTGGGTCTGGTTTCCTGAAAGCAAAGTCTGAGATGAGATTCTTCTGTATATGGTATAGTGAGTGGATGCTCTCAGGTGCAACCTATGAGGGAAGCCAGGACAGAACATGGAAGGAGAATCTCAGTCTGATCCCATGGAGAAGCTCTGGAGCAAGAAAGGCTCCAAGGAGTTGAGGAAAGAGGTTGGTCTTTTGCATACCAAATAAGCCAGTCATTGATTCCCCCTTCTAACTCCTGCCCCTATCCTGTCTGTATAATTTGGAATCTCCCACTTTCGGGGATTTCCAATAGAGTTGGCTTCCAGTGCATCAGAGTAATTCCTGGGAGAAGTTAAAGTTATGAATGATCAGCCACCTGACACATAACAGCTGAGGAAAAGGAAGACTGCATCGCCGTTACCGTCTACTACAAAAAACTTGGATAAAATGCTCTGAGGAAACAGAGAGGAAAAAGATGATTCTTACCTGGTGGGGAGGTATTTTTTTAGTCATGAATACCATAATATGAATAACGTACTCAAAAGTTAAATTTTATAAAGGAGTATAGGTGAGGGGAAAGGAAGAGCGGGAGAGAGAGGGAAAGAGAGAAAGAGTACAAGTATCAAAGGGAAAAGGGGGAATGGAATGGATTAACCCCAGACAAACCAAACCCATTGCAATCTAGTCAATTTCAATTCACAATGACCTTACAAACACAGAGTATACCTTCTCCATAGGGTTTCCAAGGCTGTAATCTTTACAGCAGACTGCCACATCTTTCTCCCATACAGTTGCTGGTGGGTTCCAACCACCAACCTTTTGGTTAGCAGCTGAGTGCTTTACCACTGCACCACCAGGGCTCATATGGAATGGATTACCTACATCAAAATGTACTACGGTGTTTTAAAAGCTTAAATGTGTAGAATTTTATAATCTTTTATCGGAACAGGAATAAGTAATATTGATATGTTGGCTTGATTAGTTACATGTGTTTTCTCCCTAAAAACCCAAGACCAAACCTGTTGCCGTCAAGTCTCTTCCAACTCATAGCAACCATATAGGACAGGGTAGAACTGCTCCATAGAGTTTCTTAGGGAGTGGCTGCTGGATTTGAACTGCTGACCTTTTGGTTAGCAGCTGTAGTGCACTGTAGCTCTTAACCACAGCACCACCAGGACTTTGGGGCTTTTTAAAAAAGTAACTTTGTGGCCTTAGCCTATTAAGCACATCTTAAAACTGCAGGCTATGAGAGGTTGCCATAAGATGGACAGTGTCCTCTTTGCAAATATCTAAGATCAACCATCATGACAAGTGAATATTTTCCTGGGGAGGTGTGGCAGGCAAGGGTAGACATCATTGGAAATTTAGCTGGATGAACTTTCCACTAGCCTTATAGATAAATAGTCCTATGAAAAAGGCCATCTTTCTACCAGTGCTGGTAAAGCAGAGCTTTGGAGCACAAATATTTATTTAAAAAAATTGATTTAAAAAGTTTCTCCATTATCTGCTAATTCTACCATCTGGTCCCACAGTTACCAGAGCAGTATTAGCATGAATAAACTAGCACTTTTCTATCTCATCTTTCTCTGTTCTGGCATGTACTGTAACTAATGTACTTTTTGAAGAACATTAGATTTTTCTGAGGCATTTATAAAATTACATTAGTTTATTCCTTTTAATTTAACCTGATATGATTAAAGGATGGGCCCTTTAGAGATCCTAACGACTTTTTCAAAGGGAAACCGGATAAGCTGATTATTATTACTGTGATTTTCTTTTTCTTTTTTCCAAACATGGTGTCTTAGTCATCTACTGCTGCTATAACAGAAATACCACAAATGGATAGCTTCAACAAACAGAATTTTATTCTCTCACAGTTTAACAGGCTAGAAGTCGAAATTCAGGGTATCAGCTCCAGGGGAAGGCTTTCTCTCTCTATCGGCTCTGGAGGAAGGTCCTTGTCATCAATCTTCCCTGGTCTAGGAGCTTCTCTGCACAGGAATCTCAGGTCCAAAGGATGCACTCTGCTCCTGGAGCTGCTTTCTTGGTGGTATGAGGTCCCCATGTCCCTCAGCTCACTTTTCTCTTTTATATCTCAAAAGAGATT